AATAATAATAATAATAATAATAATAGTATTTGACTCACTGCCACTTTGTTGGATCATCAAATGTCTAGATGTCATCGGGATTTGTGAAAATATCAGACGATCATGCCATCACCGCTCAAACAGGGAGCTTTGAAATGGCTGAAAAGAAGCTCACGGAAGCTGTAGGTGGTCTTATTGCCTATTACAGGGGAAACCAGCTGATTCCTAATCCATCTACGCGGACGATCATGCCATCACCACCCAAGCACGGAGCTTTGAAATGGTTGAACAGAAGCTCTCTATAGCTTTAGGCAATCTTACTGCCTATTACAGGGGAAACCACCTGATTCCTAATCCATGCTGATGATCGTGCCATCACCATCTATGCTGACGATCGTGCCATCACCATCTATGCTGACGATTGTGCCATCACCATCTATGCTGACGATCATGCCATTACCACCCAAGCAGGGAGCTTTGAAATGGTTGAACCAAAGCTCTCCGAAGCTTTAGGTGCTCTTACTGCCTATGAGAGAGAAAAACCTGCTAATTCCTAATTCATCTATGCTGACAATCATGCCATCACCACTCATGCCACGATGATCGTGCCATCACCACCCAAGAAGGAGCTTTGAAGTGGGCGAACAGATGCTCTCTGAAGGTTTAGGTGGTCTTACTGCCTATTACAGGGGAAACCAACCGATTCCTAATCTATCTATGCTGACGATCATGCTATCACCACCCAAGCAGGGAGCTTTGAAATGGTTGAACAGAATCTCTCTGAAGCTTTAGGTGCTCTTACTGCCTATGAGAGAGAAAAACCTGCTACTTCCTAATTCATCTATGCTGACGATCATGCCATCACCACTCATGCCACGATGATCGTGCCATCACCATCTATGCTGACGATCGTGCCATCACCACTCAAGTGGGGAGCTTTGAAATGGTCGAACAGAAGCTCTCCGAAGCTTTAGGTGCTCTTACTGGCTATTTCAGGGAACACCAGCTGATTCTTAATCTATCTATGCTGACGATCGTGCCATCACTGCTCAAGCAGGGAGCTTTGAAATGCGCGAACAGATGCTCTCTGAAGCTTTAGGTGCTCTTACTGGCTATTTCAGGGAACACCAGCTGATTCCTCATCCATCTATGCTGACGATTGTGTCATCACCACCCAAGCAGGGAGCTTTGAAATGGTTGAACAGAAGCTCTCCAAAGTTTTATGTTCTCTTACTGCCTATTACAAGGAAAACCAGCTGATTCCCAATCCATCTACGCTGACGATCATGCCATCACCACCCAAGCAGGGAGTTTTGAAATGGGTGAACAGAAGCTCTCCAAAGTTTTATGTTCTCTTA